AAAATATCGCATTTTATGCTTTTTTAGTTTATGTATAGCAGCAGATTTAAAATGTATCACCCTCTTATGCCTGTTATGGACAAAAACATCCCTTTGACTTCAATGCAAACCACAGTTTTTGATCCTGTATCATCTGCTTCAAATAATCATGCTTTCTGTGATGTTATGGTTTCATTTTGGACAAAAGTCATCAAATTTATGATTTTTACTGTTTACCACCAAATTCAGTAATTTCTCCATATGTTGCCAAGGTGAGAAAGTTTACACATTTCTTTAGATCTTCTAACCTGGCAAGCCAGGCAACGCTCCATTGACGGATCTCAGTTGTGGGGCTGATTCTACCGTTGCCTTTCAAATGATCTCCGCATGCTACTGGACAATGAATGTGACATACTCACCGCAACAGCTATCGGCAAATGAGGCGGTCCACATTTGAAGAAGGAGAAAACACATAATTTTTTCTAAAAAAAGCACTTAAATACATCTATCTGCTCCTGATTCTAATGAAGCCCAAATTCTAATAGTCCAAAATTGATGTAAAAGCCGTTTCAAACGAGCTGTCGCCATCTTGTTTCACTCTGTTGCATTATCCCACCCACCAGGCATATAGAGTGCCCTAAATCCATGTTGTAGTTCTTTTTTAAAACACAGAGCAGTTTTGTTTTTCCTGCTACGTTTCGTTTGTGGCTGCAAACTTCCTCAGGCTGACAGAACCTGCAGCCGCAAATGAAACGTAGCGGGAAAACACGTAAACAAAACTGCTCTGTGTTTTAAAAAAGAACTACAACATGGATTTAGAGATATGACACAGCAAGAACACACCTAAGATATAGAGTGCCCTGATTGGCCCACAAAGCGGATAAAGCTCTGTGATTTGTTCACTAAGCAGATAGAGCACTATGATTGGCCCACCATTATGGGCCAATCACAGCTCTTTATGTGTTTGAAACCCCTCTAGAGAGCTGTGATTGGCCAGCCAGAATGCTGTTGGGGCTGCAGAGGTTCCAGTGGAGCGTTCCTAGACCAAACTTTGCAAAGCAAGAATTTGGTCTAGTTCACTAGGCTATAGATCTTCTGCTGTTTTTATTTAACTCAGAAGCTCAGCATGTAAACAAAACACAGTTTCACTCTCACACGTAACATCAAAGGGTAGAAAACAAAAACAATATGTTTATGCACCTGGCTGGAGCCCAAGTACATCCAAACTCTTTATAGTTGTTTGTTCATGAAAGTGCAGAAGTGTGAATGCATGCACTAATATAATATAAAGTATATATATATATTATATTTTTTCTCCCTTCGAATCTGGGAGGGTGGAACCCCAGCTCCAGCTATGGACAAGCCCCCAGGGGGCCCAACTTGATATTTTTTCATGGGACCCAAAATCTCTGGCAGCCCCCCTGCATATACTGGCGAAACTTGTGCAACGTGATGAAGGTTCTCTGATTTGTGGCAAAGGTCACATTTGCCCAGCTGGGTCAAACAGTACTTTTGAATCCACAGATTAACCCAAGGAGCCACGATGTTTGCTCAAGATCATAACACCATATCTGCTGTTCCGTCCCAGAAGGACTCTTCAAGTCACGATGATAATGATTAGATTATAATGAATAAACTCATTGATTTTATTACTGTTTAATATAATCATCATAAAATGATCACTTGGTTCAATATGAAGGTATTTTAATTACATGAAATGGATTATTATGCTTTGGGTACAATAATAATTATTATAATGATTATAAAGATGTGTTCAACAAAGAAGGTCAAGTTCACCTTATACAGCTAACACAGAGTCCAGATAAACAATAACTGCAACACATGTTTTTGACGCATGATCAAACTTTCTTCCGGAGAGAGTGGGAGTTTCCTGAGAGCTTTTGGTAAAACTGTAACCATCACAGATTCACGTTCAGTTCTTGAACCAACACCACGGAGGAAAGGGGAACGGCCGTCTCCTAAGCCTCCACCTGCTGTTCTAGTCACGTCGACCAGAATAGCTAAAGAATAAACGAACTGTAACCAGCTAACGAAGACTCTACCAGAGTCATTGATTTCTGAAGTTAAGTTAAGACGGGAACGTCCATCTGCCAAACGCTTGATAAACCGTGTACCCAGCTACCACTCTGGACCAGACGATCGGACACTTGCGTCTCCTCTACCAGCCGGAGTGTCATCTTGGATGAACCACATCCTCCAGATCTCCGGATCCACAAGAGGGTCAGCTGTTTGGGTGAGGTAGAAAACGAGAATGCGTTTGATGCCGTTTCTCTCAAAATAACTCAGTTATCCGCAAACATCAATTCCATCCAGAACACTTTTATTCTCTGTGAAAGAAACCTTCTGAGAACTTCATTCACGCATCCAAAACTCACCATTCTCGTTTTAGCTCCATTCAGTCACAGGTTTGCTTTTAAACAAGTTTAATATCAAAGCTGTTGAAAATTGTCATTAAAATTGCCATCCATGAATTGTCATTTTATAATTGTCATTTCAAATCTTTCAGTTTAAAATTGTTAGTAATAAATTTCTTCATTTTTAAACTTGCCTCATTATTGAAACGAAACAGAAAAGGCATATTTCTGGTTATTTGAAAGCAAAGATCCTAGCTTCAGATTTAAAATAACTTTTGCTATTAAATTTAATTATCTAAATTAAACATTAATCTTTGGATTAAAATTAGATCAAACAGGTTGATGTATGAACTTAGATCGATATATAAGTATCCGGGATATTTATATATATGATATAAGCTTCATAGGTTAATCTGACTGGTTATTTTTCGGAATCTCCGCTGAATAGCAACAGAGGTGATCTCAGTATGCAGATTTAACTCTACACTTGCACCTGCCTCTCAAAAGGACAAGCTGCTCATCAACACACACATCTAACCCAGTGTTGAAAAGCATCTGGAAGCGATGGGTCCACATGTCCCAAACCGAGCGGATAGGGGCCAGCTTGTCCTGCCTGAGATGGGAAGGCCTGTTCAGGTTGTCATCAAACCGGAGGGTGGAGTTGATCATATTGAATCTGGTGTGACTCCTGGTAGCCCGGAAGATTGCACGTCCACAGTGGTCATCCCAAAGACTGCAGGTGGATTCCCCTTTGGTCTGGTACACACCAGCCAAAATCAGGAGGCCAATGTATGCTCTCACTGCGATGTCATCAATATCCCACCAGTTCTTCACCACACGTCTTCCATTTAGATTTGTCATGTTGACGATGATTTCAATCATTTCAGGAGTAAAGAATAAATCGAAGGAGGATACCACGTCGTAAATACGTGTGATGACGTAACTTGCCCCTGGATTCAAATACAGTATCTTGTGGCAGGAACATAGTCAGACGTTTCTGCGTTAGTAGGAAACCAGACTAGCCCACTTTTAGAAATCCTTTCTGGAGCAGGATTCATTGTCCTCCTTTCTCTTTCACTGGGCAGGTCAGGAGAAGTCAAGGAAACAGAATGGTCTGACTCCACCTCAAAGTCCACTGAAGATATTTCACTCTTCTCATTTTCTTCAGGAGTATCAGGCTGCAGGAGCTGATCCAGAAATTGTTCCATAGAGAGATGCCTCTTCATCTTGCTCCGTGGCTTTCACAGAAGTGAAATGAGCCCAACAGAGCCCAGGGACTCAGCCCACCAGGATCGATCAGGCAGACTCCAAAAATCTTAAACCCCCTGACCCGGGAGCCGCGAACACTCAGGCAGACCAAGGCACCACACTCCACACCAAATGTGGCAGGTGGAGGGTAGGCAAAGATGTGTAGTAGCACGAGAAGTCCCAGGAGAGGGGAGGAGTCCAAGACCCCACCTGATATATACAGCCATACACAGACACAGTCACACATACAACCCAAGACTTACAAAAATGAACGCTAGACACCCACTCATGCTCCCCATACACACCCTATTCACTCTGGTCCCGATACTGCTGCACAAAGGGTACAACCTTCACCGGTTCCCAGAGTTCACCCCCTTCTGCTGGGGTGATGATGAGCACCCCAGCCCAACGCTGAGCAAACCATCCCACCACCCCAGACCCCAACATAACAGTCAGCTCCCCCACCTAGCCTCCAGCCCCAGGAAGCCAAGCGACAACAGAGGTGTGCCAAGACCTAGACTCCCTCCGCCTGCTCCAATACAGTGTTAGTGTGTGTTGATGAGGTGTATTCCATGGCTGTGGTGAGCGGGCAGTGTGGGCATCGTCTGGCCTAGGCCAGCTGACGCAACCACAAAACCCTAATTCCCCCCACAGCCCTGTGTCTAAGTGCAGTTTACAATTGGAGTGGGCACCGGCACTCGGGATGAGGCTGAAAGATCCCCTTGCCAAATGTCGTGGAGTGTGCTCACTCCCAAGGCCCTAAATGTGTGTTTGCGTGGAATGTCGTTGGTGGAAGTGTTTAAGGTGCAAATAAAATTGGGGGGCAGGCTAACACAGGAATGCGGAAATGGGATCTATACCAGCACCCATGACTTGCCCACCCCCCAAGGTCCTATGTGCATAACTGTGTGATGATGTGAAGCAGCAAGAGGAGAAAAATGTATGGGGAAGGGGAGCAATAGCTGGTTAGCCTAAACCCACAGGGAGCCAGCCCCCCCACTGGCCCCAATAGGCAACTCCGTTCCCAAAATGCCCCCCAGGGTATGGAGACCCCAGCCCATCTCGCCAGGGCCCCTGGATGAACCTGGTCGACTTGCCTTTGGTCCAGCTGCCATGGATGTGCTGTCATCTGGACCCACGTAAATGTATCCATTTCTCATTGAAATAACCAAGAATATTTATGAATACAAAACAGTCATTATGTAGACACATAAACAAATGTGACTACCATTAGATAAACAGTTAAATACATTTAAACCTTAAATGGCGCTTACACCAGCCTTAGCTAACATGCTAACCAAACCAACATGGCATAACACCTACGCAGCAGAGCAGGATATCCACAACTTAGAATATTAAATGTTATAAAGTTAAAAGTTTGATAGAAAATAAAACACATTTCATGTATTAAACATAAACTTTAATTCATTTATCATGTCTTTATTCCTCGAAGCATCACATGATGACTCGCCTGCTTACAATACAGGCTTTTAGTAATACTCTTGCTTGCTACTGTAAAACAAAAATAAAAAAGAAATTGAGCACAAATGTAACTCAATCTGTAGTGTGACAAAGAAAACAGTCAACCTCGACACCAGGCGTCCTCCGTTCCTTATGTAGTGGGATTTGTGTATCAGGAGACGAAGTCTGATGAAAATGTTCTGATCTATGTCTCCTCTTAATCTGTGCAAAAACTTAAAGACTCAACCTGAAGTAAGTTTACAGTCCACAGCGAATGAAGCTAAATATTCCAAAAAGAGCATGTTTTCTTTGTTTTGTGAAAATATAAGCACTAAACTAGAATCATTCGAATATGAAAAATAAACTACAGAGCTTTAGAGTATGAAAATAGCATCTTTTCCTCTCCTTTGATACAAGTAGTTAAAGGTTTGTGGCAACTTGTCTTGCGGTCTTTCAGCTCCTCTCACTTGTAAAAACAAAAAGAAACAAAAAGCACATTCAGGCCTAATGTTTGAGACTTAAAATTGCACATTAATGTGGGAACAAAGGAGAATGACAGGGAGAGATGATGCGTGATGGGAGGCAGCAGAAAGGAAAAACGAGTGACTCACGATGAACCTGACAGGAAACACTACAGCAAAGATGTGAAAGGAGAAACAAGACAATTAAAACCAGATCTGATAGAGAGAGATGTGGGAAACACAGACAAAGGGGAAATCAAGGACAGAACAACAGATTTTACAGGTTAAATGAGGTATTGCACAGATTAATAGAAAAAAAAGCATAAAGGCAACAAAAATATACAGCAAACTGATAGAACTTTCATATTTATAATTTTCAAAATCAACAATTTTTAGAGAGATGGGAACAAATTTAGTGTCATGATCATCCAAAGACTGGGGAGAGGGGGAAAAAAATCAAGAGTCCTCCCATTCATCATCTTCGTCAGTGTAGTCGTCATCGTCGTCATCTTCATCATCTGTGAGGAGAAAATATTTTTAAAAACTATAAAAAAATAAGGCTCAAGCTTTTAGCTGTTTGCTTTGTCAGAGTGCTGCTAGTGGAGATCTTGAACACCAATGGAGGCTCATGAATCATGAAAAAAAAACACCAGGTGTCATTAATAGAGCTGAGGAAAATAATCAAATAATCGATGCATCGGGATGCGGACATAAACGATTCTGCATCGTAGAGGAGTACGCCATAATCAATTATAGTGGAATGTAGTTTTGTTTTTTTAACGGCGGCACCAGCGCAGCATCCAAATCTGTCAAGAGTGAGTGTCCTCCACATTTACCTCCGCCTTAATGTGGTACTGCAGGGCTGAGCGCTAGAGTTGTCACCCGAGACCGAACCGGAACTGAATCAGCCCGACCGGTTCTGTTGGATTTGGGCTGTGAATTATGTTAATTGAGCAGGTTGTGTGCGGCGCGCTCCGCTCGCTCGATTAGCGACCGAGAGAGAGGATCGGAGGACGCTCCTCCAAACCGATGCTCCAAACACGCATTATTATTTTCATAATTTAATTATTATTTCTCCTGGAAGCGCTAAGCCAGACTGCTTGTTGTAATGTAGGGAGATCCGGTCTTGGGGAGGGGGCGGGGTCAATGACGGCGGCTGCAGCATGATCGTCTGTCTCTTTTATTTAGGGACACGGAGAAGTTAAAAGGAGAGAGAAATGGAAGACAGAAGTTCTTGTTCCACTTTATTCTTTTGTTTCATGAAGATAAACTTATGTTAAATTCAACTTAAAGAGAAGCTGGGAGGACGCTTTGGTTCATTTTAAGTTACAGGAGACTTGTCTCCTATCAGCTCCTCCAGAGACAGCATGGACATGAGGGTCACATGGTGAGGGTCACACAGGACAGGTTAGTGGAAAGGTTTGTAGTTAGCTGGTTAGTGAAGGACATCCATCGGATGGGTAATTTAATCCTAATCCAGCCCACAGCCTTCTGCTGGTGTTATCAGAAAGAATAAAACACACATCTTAAATATTACTGGAAGTGTAGAATTTGTTTTATGTTTTATTGTTTTCTGCATCAAACAGAACTTGATTCATTCTCCAACATTTCAGAAATGAACCACAGGGTTCAAATGAAATAACAAACTAAGTCAAACATTTCATTTGGTGTCATTTCTGACATCCTTCAACTGTGGCATAAATATTTGACTCTAGAGCTGCTCAGAGACATTAAACACTCATATATGAACCCATTATATATTTTATTATTATATTATGTGTCCTGTAGGTTTTCAGTACTTTTTTAGATTTTGTGAGTTTTTGCAAAGCGTGTTTTTCTCAGCCTGAGGCGTGGTGTTGAACGAGGAAACAGATGTTTTACTTTGTTAAATCTTCTTAAATGTTTAAAATGTTTTGTCCTAACCTGTTGTGAATGGAGAGCTTTTGAGGGATGGCAGGTTGTGTCAGTTACGTTTTAGATAAAAAAATAAAAAGCAAATATCTGACATCTTCTATTTATCGATGAAAACAAATCAATATGAAATAATCGTGATGCATCGGGATATCGAATCGAATTGAATCGTTGACCCAATAATCGTAATCGAATCGGGAGACAAGTGAAGATTCACACCTCTAGTCATTAAGGTTTGTACGTCGACCGAGTTATCGTTGAAATCACGAGTCTCGCCTCCAAACAGCCGAACATTTGTGTTTTTATTTGTCTTTGATTCCAATGTGTTACCTGTGGAGTGAATGGCCTCGCCCCTTCTCTTTATCACCGCCATCAGCGCCCCCACGATGCCCGACGCCGGCTCGGCGGGAGCGGGTGTGGAGTCCGTGTTATCGTCCCTCTGTAAAGGTGATCAAATATGTTAGCAGAGCACACGCCAAGCAGCCATGTTGGCATGTGATGGATCAACGCTCACAGGTTTCAGGGGGATCCCTTTTCGGATTTGGTCCAGGAGTGCGTCTCTGCCGCCGCCGCCTCCGCCGGGTGCAGGCATCTCCACCTTTTTCAACTTTGTCCCATCTCTGATCTGACTGAGCAGAGCCGACTTGTCTGCGCCGTTAGCCTCCGTGGGTGGAGGAAGACCAGGTGGCGGGGGAGGAGGTGGTGGAGGAGGACCGCCATTACTTGAAGCTGGAGGAGGAGGAGGAGGAGGAGGGGGTGGGGGAACGGAGGCGTGAGATGGCGCAGGGGGAGGCGGGGGCCCACCTCGGTTGGGCGGGGGAGGCGGTGGAGCAGACATGCCCGGTCGGGATGGAGGCGGGGGCGGGGGCGCAGAGAAAGGAGGTCTGGAGTGGGGAGGAGGGGGCGGGGCGCCCCGCACGGGTCCTCGGGATGGAGGAGGTGGAGGAGCTGAGCTGTGAGACTGAGGTGGGGCAGGAGGTCCGCCCCTGGGTGGAGGTGGTGGTGGAGGAGGAGCTGAAATAACGGAGAAAACGGAATAAAAGTAAAAATGTTAGAACGCTTTGTGACACAGCTGCTTCTAGACGTTTGTCACACAGAGACCGACGGAAGATCTGAGATCCAACTGTCCTCCAGACGTCACACGTCCTCAGCCATGCATACATAACCTTACATCACAGGAGATCAGCACTCTCACCTGCAACTGATCTCACTTAGGTTAGGAAAGTAAAACTGGTGAAACCACCATCAGCACCGAACGCTTTTCAGATTAAAGGTCAGCGACAAAAAGCTTCAATTCACATGCAAAGAGTTTTAAAAAAGTCCTGATCCAGAGACCTGGAGACTCTCATAGGAGCAAAAAGGAAGTTACACTGCAAGAACACGGCAGGTGGAGAAGAGACGCTGCAAAGCAAATATGCAAATATTCCATCTGGTACACAGATCTGTTGGGTGACGTCAGCACATCAGAGTCCAGTTCAACAAAGTGAAAAACGCCAAACACAAACATTAAAGTAGCTGCTAAGACTTGGCGGGATTCTTAGAACATGCACCGCCATAGGGCTTCACAGCAGGTCATGCACAGTAACCTACCGCTCCACCTGGGCGGACCTGGGGACAAAACCACCACACTAGTTAGGTCGGCTAACCCACGAGCAAATTCTCACACGGCGCCCCGATTTTTATGCCTTTTCACATTAAATAAAAGTACAATTGAACTTCAGATTGATAAAAAAACTCCACAAACTCTCTTTCAGAAGCAGAATGATCAATTCTTACCTTGTCTCCGTACCTCGTTTTTGACGGCCTCCACACCCCCGTTCTTCTCAATGAAGTCATAGATGGCTTTAGACGTCTCCATGTCCTTCAGCTCAGCCTCAGAAATGCCGGCCATGTCAAACAGGTTCTTCAGCTCAGGATCCAAATTATTCAGCTGGAAACGAGGGAAGACACATGGACATTAGATCTACATATTCAATAGATGGATTTATTTCTTTTTTAATTTAAAAGCAACACTTTATACTGCAAAGCTGCACAAAACTAGCTAAAAAGCTTAAATATACAATCGACTTACACCCCAGGAGAAACATAATGATCGGTAATATTTTGATCATGAAACATATTCCTCTCCCATCTTTTATCTTTAATATTATCTAATATCTACCGTTTCCACGACAACATCAAAATGACTGTCAAATCAAACATCCTCAATACAACCGATCCTGGTTCGGTTTTAAGGCACACTTTAAATAAAAGAAGAAGAAAAAATCAGCTGATTAAACCAGCAGCTGAATGCGAGAAGAAACTTTTCTGTGAGCTCTCTCCAGATAAAATCTGTGCTGCTCTGCTGCCCCCTAGTGGTGAATGAATATTCTTCTGAATCCATTAACCTGCGTCCAGTTTTCATACGATGAAGAAATGAAGCGTTTTCATCATCTACATGAAAATGACTAAAACCTCAGAGGTTTGAATTCAGAGCAGCAGGACTGAAGTCTGATGAAACGTTCTATTAAATCTAAAGTTTATGTGAAGGAGCCGTTAGGACTATAAACTCTTCTGCGCTAAGAGGTGAGCCACCTAAATCCTATGAAGGATTAATTTATGACAGAAATAGTATCTGTAAGCGGTGAATAGATCCTCTGATTATGCAGCCATTCTTCTGGAAGTGACTAAAGCCTAGTTTATGTTTCTGCGTCAGCTCCACGAGGGAGAGACGCACACGTATGGACAGAGACGTTTTACCTTCAGGCTTCGTCTCCTGGGGAGTGTTGCAAAGCAATTCCCTGCCAGGACAACAGAGGATGGAGGACTTTTCTGGGATATCACGTCATGTATCTGGCCCAAGATGGTTCATTTACTATTGTGGTTTTTGTATTTTAAGATACTTTTTAACACGGACTGACTTGTCCCTCATTCTCTTCCAACTCTTTATGCGTTAACCACCTCTAAACCCGTCATTTCCATCCACGGATAAAACACTTGCTGTGCATCCTCATGCTCCTCCAGTCACGGGTGAAAAAAACGTTCATAATTCTGGAGTTTTTCTGCGAGGTATTCTTCAACCTGCTTCGTGTCTGCCACTAGATTTCTTCGGATCATTTTACTTTTTTGAGGGTGCAACGGCAGTGCTTGTGACAAACTTAAAGGAAGCCGCGTTCTGGCCAATCACACGCTTCCGCTCTCAGTCTCGTTTGACGTATGAATGTTTAGAAAAGTGGGCTCGACTCCCAACATCCTTGCGAGCCCGTTGGAGAGCTCTCGCAATGACGGATAATGGCGATGCGCGTCTCTGCACCAACGCAGAAACATAAAGTAGGCTTAAAAAGTAATATTTTGTTTAGCTTTAGCTATGATCACAACTCAAAATCAAAGTTGTTTCAAAAAGCTTCCGCTTCAGATTTATCTCCATTCAGTGCTGCATTAAACATCACCAAGGTCTTGTATTGATGATGGTCGACCACGGCACAAAACCTTTTACTGCCTGTCAAAGATTCTCAGTGATGTTAACATCTGGACTCTGGTGACCGATCCGTGTTTGAGAGTAACGCCTCATACTCCCTGAAACCACTCTGTGGCATGGTTCTCTCAGAATATGTCCGTATCATCAGGGAAGAAAAAAATCCATTGATGGAATAACAGGGACATTCCGTATCCTCAGATGACCTCATTCTTTGAGCAGAACCCATTACTGAGCTATAGCTGCAGCGACCTCAGATCATAAAGCCATGTTTAAACGTTCTTGTGTGTCGAAGACGCCTCAATAGTCATTTGCTAAATGTATTTTAACCCCTTAAATTTCCAGGTTTAATGGTAAATGGCCTGTATTTGATATAGCGCCTTCTAGAGTCATGGAACCCCTCAAGGCGCTTTACAACACAATCAGTCATTCACCCATTCACACACACATTCACACACTGGTGGGGATGAGCTACGATGTAGCCACAGCTGCCCTGGGGCGCACTGACAGAGGCGAGGCTGCCGAGCACTGGCGCCACCGGTCCCTCCGACCACCACCAGCAGGCAACGTGGGTTAAGTGTCTTGCCCAAGGACACAACGACAGCGTCAGACTGAGCGGGGCTCGAACCGGCAACCTTCCGATTACGCGGGAAGCTGGAATGCTAAGGGGTTAGGAAGGTCTGGCTGTCACACAGTACTTACATCAAAACCTGTACTTGGATTCCATCCTACGTGACTGACGTGCCTTTAAGACAGAAGAGAAAGCACGTGAGAAATGAGACACGAACAGCAGAAAGACAAAAAATGCATTTCTGACCAAATGGTTTCGTTTGAAATCAGCAGTAACTAAAACCACACTGTAACTGATGCCACGGATACATTGATACTTCATTAAAGGTACAGTCTGAGATGTTTTCTGGAGCTTTTGTTGCCATATTGCTTGAAAAGCAATACCAAAGCACATACCATGGGCAACGAGTAGGGCTGTCGCGGTAACCGCAAAAATGAAATATCGCGATATGAAGAAGCCCACCGCGCTGCATCATGGGCCACCGCGATTACTGAACTTGGTTCAACACAATGATGCATGTTGAGAAGGATGGCTGCACTGGTATCAAAACGAAACGTTACTTCGCTCCTTTGGGAGCACTTTGGTTTTCAGTACGTCAGCTGCTGCGCAGCCAGAGTCCTTGGCCGAGACAGAGCTGCCACCAGCGGCAAAAAAATAATAATAAACGCTCGGAGACCTGCTGAAGTCCCGGACAAGCACTGCTTCTGCAGCCGTCCCGAAGAGAGTTTGAGCCGAGCTGGAGCTCACTCGCTACCTGCAGGAGGAATGCATCCACCCTAAAGAAACCCCCTGACATGGTGGAGCAACAACCGGGAGAGATTCCCTTTGCTCGCCAGTCGCACGCAGGTACGTGTGTGTTAGTGCAACGAGCGCACCATCCGAGAGGGTTTTCAGTGTTGCTGGAAATGTTGCCACCCCTCTCAGATCCTCTCTCAAACCGTATATGGTTAACATGCTGGTTTTCCTTGTAGGTAACAAGGACGTGACCGAGCTATAAATCACCGTCATTCGTGTGTGTGAAAGTGAAATGATAGTGCGCCCGCCCCCCGGCGCGCGCGCGCCCGGTACATGTAATTTTTTATGCTTGATTTTAAACAACTAAACAAAATGGGGACTTGTTTCTTATTTGTTAGATGCTGCAGCCAAATTTGCATTTAAAAGTTTAACCTTCTCCTGAATTTTGTTGTTTTTAAGTTCAGTCGGACTCCAACTGTCGGACAAACAAACGTTACTGCGATCTGTGTTGTTACTGCCCTTTGATCTGCATTCAGTAAAGCGTTATAAAAGAAGGCACGGCAATTTTTAACCTTTTTTAAATGTGTAAACATTATGTTTAGATAGTACTGCAATAAAAAAAGGACTGCAATAATATCGCATACCGCAATATTAAGCCACCCTGAATCACCGCAGGGGGAATTCCTCAACCGCGACAGCCCTAGCAACGAGTTCATTTAATCACCGTTGAAAATTGAAATCCTGGAAAAACCTCATCCAACCACTACGGTGGTCCCCGTTCTTAATGATTGGATTATAAACCATCCATCAAACTGCTCCTCTGAACATCTCTACCCACACTGCACATACCCCTCTGTGTGCACAAAAGGGTTGTTCTGGTTGGAGCAGCTGAACAGGAAGCAAAGCCAGAGCTGGGCTGGCTAGCGTCACAGACGGAATGTCCCGTTCTGTTAGCAAATGTCTTTTAAGGAGTTGTTTTAACACTTTCTGTTTAGTGTTTAATTCTATTCTGGTTGGGGAATCCTTTAGTTGTCTGAGAATGCAGCTCAGTTGCAACTTTGTCGGCTGGCAAAACAGTTGTGTGAGAGTGTGTGTGTGCGCGTGAGTGCTGCTGTTAGCAGGCAGAATGGACAGTTTGGGTCGGGTTCTGGAAGATTCTTGTTGTTAGTGGTGGGGAATCCCCAGACTGTCGTGGCGCTGAGCTGCTGTTTTTTGGAAGTAAAGAACAAACCAAGAAAGCTAAAATGGTCTCATTTTCAACCACATAAACAACACACACTGCGTCACAAGCCAGTGTTTTACAATTTTCTGCAACTATCAGATTCAGAGACTCTAGGGAGGAGCCTGACAAAAGGGGTCAGACCTTTGAATTTTTTTTCTTGTGGCCGTTTTTTTTTTTTTTAAAGAACGTTCTTTGTACCTTTCATTTCTGCAAGAAATGCCTTTTGGAAAAAAAAAGTCAAGTGCAGGGAAAAAAAACTTCCTAGAAAGGGTCTTTTACCAATACTGTCAGACAGAGCAACAATATGAGAGTCAATGAAAAGCCCAGAAGTCCTTCTGCATAAAGAAACAATAAAACCCCTAACATGTGGAATACATTTGTTTTTAAGATTCCACCATAAAGTAGGGCAGAGGCAGCATCATTATGCGGGAAGTCTAGAAGAATAAACTATGGTCCTGCATCACCAGAGGAGAAAAATAAACTAAATGAACCCTGCTAAAGGCGACTCACTGGAAGTTACTGGGTGTGCCGATGTCTGCCTTGGTCAGCTTCTTCTTCTTGTTGTTGTTGCTCCCTTTGTCCTTTTTAATCCTCCTAGGGAATGAGGAGTGCATCATGCTGTTCATCTGAGTGTTGTTGGGGGGGCGGTGGACACCACTGATCTCTGGGTTTTTTATGTCGACAGTAGCGATGTGCAACGAAGGTCCTGAAAAACACACAGATAGTACTAAGGTCACATTTCAGATAGCAGCATTTGCTATAGACGACTATAATACACATGGAGGCAGGGCACTAAAAATAAACTTGGCTATGAACAAAAATCAAAGTTATGCTTTTAAATCATTTTATATTTATTGCATATTATCATAATATTTAATATGATGCTCACCTCCTGAGGAGAGCAGAGATAAATACAACTTGGTCCAGTACAATCATTTAACCACTAGTGTCATTTATTCTAAACATTTGCAGACTCAGTATTGTTGCAGTGTCACCGCCGCTCTAACTAAAAGCTCGTACCTACTACAGCATCCCTACAGGGACATTTGGGAGTCTGTCTGGGTGAAGGCGATACCGACCGAGTGCATCGCCCCCTTACATCATCACAAACGCCGTCTCCTGGTGGACAGGAGCTCGCTTTTACGTCTAAAAACGATTTACGGGTCAAGCTGCAAGTTTGGCCTTGTGTGTAAATGGAAAATGGAGAGGATGGGTCAGAGATGGAGGAGTAAAGTTCATCCTGAGGGAGAATAAGGCAGTGAAATGTAGACAAACATCCGGGTCCCGGGCCTCCAGCTCCTTCTTCACCCTCAGAAATCCGTTCTTCAGAAGGGGCAGAAAGAAAAGTTGTGCAGAACATCATTTTTATTTCTCACTTAAGAAAAAAAAAAACGTGGAAGAAGTGAAGAACATTTCCAAAAAAGTTTTCATGCCCAAGGAAAATTCAGAGATGATTCCAGTTAGCTGCTAACGTGAGAGAGTCCAGCCGCCAAGGTCGTCCCCCAAATATTCCAAATCAGGAATAAACTGAATAAAACAATACTGAACGGGAGAAAATGTCCACCAGCATTTACTCATCCTCTCTTAGTCCCGGCCCTTAGACTGATGCTCAGGTCAGCTTGTTGTGATGGTCTCACCAGCCGTCGTCATCACGAGTCCCCGCCTTTCCCATCAAAACACACAACCCAGAACACTAATCCCACAAAATCATTCTGGCCCCAGAGCGGGCCTTTACATAACTGCTAAAACCAATCCAACGCATAATCCCAAATTAATCTCAGACATGATGAATCAGTGGGGTGATAGAAAGAGTAAAAAGGGATAGCGCGGGAGAAAAAGAAGAACAGCTTAAATGATGAACGGGGGCAGGAAGAGCAGACGAGGACACTGATCCGGACGGGAGGCTGGAAAAGGCAGGAGAGGAGGAGAAAACAGGAGGAAACACAAGAAATAGACTCAGGATTATGGGAAAATGACAAGTGGACAGATGGAACCGGAGGGAGGACAGTCCTGTGAGATCATCTCTGCTGGAAAGGAACCAAGTTTCTCATTCAGGGGCTGAAACCAAACAAGAGACGTCCAAGATAAAACTAGAAAAAAAATCCACATGACATCCACAACACGGACCACAAATCTGAAATAAACAAAGATTAGTGGATCAAAAGGTTTTTCACTCTTAGAATATTATGCAAGTCGAAATAAAAAGAAAAAAATATATAAATAATTTCTAATTATTGCATAATCAGACCATCAGAAGGGTCCTTTATAAAGAAAGCAGCTTAGTAAATGTTATTTTAACACCTGTTTCTAACCAACTTCACAGATTTACTCAAAACTGTAGAAACACTTGAATTTTTTAAAAACTAGCTGATCTCAAGAATTTGTTCACAACTAGTTTTTCCACTCCTTCCCTTCCTCTCCGTGTTGTTGTGCAGAGTGGCCGAGCGTCAAGCGCTGTAGGAACTCAAACTGCTTGTTAAAATAAACAACATATACAGAGTTTTGTTTCATCCAACGAAAAATCAGCCATGGGATGGCCCGTCACACCGTTTCCTCTCGGCTCAGAAACGCAACAGCAAACACAATCCAGCTGCATTGTGTTTGCAGTAAATTAGGAATTACTGGTACAATTGTTTTAACTTCATAATCCTCAAGTTATAACCAACAGTTGTATTGTTGATGATGCTCATGCAGGTGAGGGAGAAGCAGACAGGGAGGGATTGGTTAGCAGACCTGCCAAAAAGAAGAGGGTCCAGGTGTCTCAGAAGTTTTTGTCCAAATATCAAGAACAGCCAATTTAATATTACATTCTTGAGAACAGAAACACCTATTGTAATTTACAAAATAAATAATTACCATTAAATACATATAAATGTTTTTTTTAATTATTATTTTGTATTAAAATTTAATGAAAGTAACTTGTATAAGCAAAAAAATTATATAAGGAAACTTTAAAGTTTTACTGTTTAATATTAAAATAAATGATACTTTGGAGTCAGGTCAAACAGTAAAAATGTCTATAACCTTACTAGTCAAAATAATAACTATGAACAAGTGTGTGTGTGTGTGTGTGTGTGTGTGTGTGTGTGTGTGTGTGTGTGTGTGTGTGTGTGTGTGTGTGTAAAATTTTTCACCAAGTGAAAAGATTACAGCATGAAAAGCAATGGAGTTGCAAAAGTCCGCGAAAAACGCTGCACAAGTGGTACTCAAAATTTTCTGACAAGGTTGGCAGGTCTGCGATTGTGTGTTAATTATATTTTTTTGGGGTGGGAACACTTTGAGAATGTTACTGTGGCCGTGCACAGGACACAGCTGTCTGGAGCGCATCAATGATCAGCGATCTGCATCGTCTCCACTCATAAGAATCCCCGGAGAGTCTACGTAAATAATGTAATACAAGTAGAACCAGGAGCTTTTTCAGGCTCCCCCTGGGTGTGTAAGTCAAGGGCTTCCAGGGGAGCATGTCACCTTTTCGGGTGAGCCAGGCTCCCCTTAGCTCCCCCGTAATTCAAACCCTCGTCATAACTGCAATATACAGAAAAAGTAATACATTATCAGACCATCAGAAGGGTCCTTTATAAAGAAAGCAGCTTAGTAAATGTTATTTTAACACCTGTGACGCGCCACCATCAGCGTCAGCCTGAAGAAGCCGGCAGCTGTCGGCGAAACCGTAGCTACAAACAGGTAAACAAAACTGTTTCTGTGTTTAAAAAAGAACGAAAGCATGGAAGTAATACATTACTTGGGGAGAAAGATATTTAGCTGCTGTTGGAGACAAAATAAATATGGCACTTTTCCTATAACCAGCTTAAATTCAAGTAGTTGCCATTTTGCCCAAAAAACATAAAAAATGTAAACGTGCACGATAGGAGACGTGATATTAAGTTACCGAAAATGTTTTTGTTTTGCGTTTATCACGAAAGGGGGACACAGCATTTATCGGTATCGAAGATTTGGAGTCAGGAGTGTGGTGCTTTGGTCTGCCTGAGTGTTTGCGGCTCCCGGGTCAGGGGGTTTAAGATCTTGGGTGTCCGTCTGATTGATCCTGGTGGCTGCCTGGTGGGATCTGAGTCCCTGGGATCTGTTGGGTCCCCAGCGGGGCTGGCCGCCCCTGGGTCCCGGGTCGCTGGGTTCCGGGCTTGGCCGACTTAGGGGTGGGTGGTTGCGGGCGGGCCTGTGGGCTTGCTGCTGATATCTCCCGGGATTCTGCCGGCTGCTGGTTGTGATCCCCTGGGGCAATCCTCTGCTCCTCTCGAGAGGGGCCTGGGGCAATCCTCTGCTCCTCTCGAGAGGGGCCTGGGGCTTTTCTGGTTACAGTCTCCCTGGGGTCCCCGTGCACTGGGGCAGCACCTGGATCTCTGGAACTTAGAGCTCCTTCCATCTCCTACACATCTTTGGGGGGCAGATCTGTGGCCCCTCACACTCTCTTTTGGACGCTCCTATAGAGAAACCTTACATATACAAGCGCGTGTACACACACAGGTGTTCACTTGGTGCTCTCATAAGTATGGACTTGGGCATTTTTAACACATGTCTTAAGGCTGTGGTTGGCATTAAATGCACTGTGATTTATTATCGTGATTGTTCAGTAAAACAATGTTGATTTTATATTTCTTCATCAGGTTGACGCAGTGATAGTTTGCACTTGTTTTATTGTTGTGTGTCCCTTTTTTTTTGTTTGTTTTTCCTCTTTCTGCAGGTCTGGAAGCAGACTCTTGTTCATTATTGATTGTTTATTTTTGTGGTGTAAATCTGTAAGGCTTGTCACCAGCATTCAGACGTTAATTCTGTTTGCTTCACAGCCAGACAGGACACGGAGGAAAAGAAAAATAAGGACATTTGGAGTCAGACGATATTGGTATGATCGGTAAAAAGTCACTATCAAACATCCCTAATACAAAGACAAAAACACACACGTAGACACACCTCTTATTTTAGATTTTGAATTTCTAAAGAAAACAGAACGTACCATTTGGAGGGTCGCGCCTTTTCTCTGTGAAAACACACAAATCATACAAATAATTACAATTTTGTGCTGTACAGGCGGTTCTGTTAATGAGCAGCGGGTAAGCGTGAAAGAAGAAAGGAGAGGCAGTGTTGGTGGGTTTGTGCGGATGCTGCCGACTGGAGTCATTCAGAAAAAAAAACTGGTGAGCATCAGGTTCTGTTAGTGTGTTTGGGAGACGTCCCGGCTCATATCCGTTTCCAGTCGGACTTTAAAACACAGAAACCCTCAAGAAGAAGAAGAAGAAGAAGCAGTGACTTTTAAGCGTGTTGATAAATGAAAAGTATCCAGAGGTTGAAGAAGATTACATACAGAGCACAGAAGATTAGATGGAAAGATAAAAGCTCAGGAAATGACTCACAGAGAAAGATAAAAAAAAGAGTCTTCATGGAATCGTGAAAGAAGGAGGTTAATTATGAAGAGATCAACTCTAATAATGAGATGCTTTAAACTCCACCAAGTTTAACCCACGGATCTGATCAGAACAGGAACTAAAGATGATTCAGAACCTGCAAAAAACTATCATGGATTTGAAAACATTTTTTGTTTATTTTGCCCAAAGTCAAAATGAGAAGTTTAGAACACATTTAGAAGATGGTCTCCCAATAAAGTAAAAAAAAAAATAAAAATAAATAAAAATAATAATAACATATTACCCCATGAAATTTATTTCTCATTAGTATAATAGTCTTGAACATAAAAAAAAATCTATCTTTTAAAGTGTTAGATCAGTAGAAAGGACTCAAAATAAAACAGCAGAATTCTGGTACCGGTTCTCCTCTGTTTCCTCCCCATCAGGTCTGACATGGCGTTGTGGAAATGTTTGGCCTCATTCTCGCTGCTGAAATTCAGACCCACCTGGCATGTCTGGAAACAATACAAACAAAATACAGACATGAGATACAAATACATACAGACACGGACAAAATAGTCGGTACCCCTCGGTCAATGAAGGAAAACCCACAATGGTTACAGAAATAACTTGAATCTGACAAAAGTAACAATAAATAAAATTTCTATGAAATGTAACCAGTGAAAGTCAGACATTGATTTTCAACCCTGCTTCAACAGAATTATTTTAAAAATAAACTCATGGAACAGGCCTGGATAAAAATGATGGCATACCTAACTTAATATTTTGTTTCACAACCTTTTGAGGCGATCACAGCAATCAAACGACTCCTGTAACTGCCAATGAGACTTCTACACCTTTCAGCGGGTATTTTGGCCCACTCCTCATGAACAAACTGCTCCAGTTGTCTCAGGTTTGAAGGGCACTTTCTCCAGACAGCATGTTTCAGCTCCTTCCACAGATGCTTAATGAGGTCAGGGCTCATAGAATGCCACTTTGGAATAGTCCAATGCTTCCCTCTTAGCACTTGTGGGTGTTTTTAGCTGTGTGTTTTGGGTCATTGTCCTGTTGCAAGACCCATGGCCTGCAACTGAGACCAAGCTTTCTGATGCTGGCCAGCACATTTATCTCTAGAATCACTTGATAGTGTTGAGATTTCATTGTGGTCACATCTTGAATTAACGTGCCCCTTTGGTCACATTATTTTTGGCCTTTTCTAGGGGTACCATCATTATTGTTCAGGCCTGTTCCATGAGTTCATTTTTAAAATAATTCTGTTGAAGCATGGTTGAAAAGCAATGTCCGACTTTCACTGGACACATTTCATGTAATTTTAATTTATCATTATTTTTGTCAGGGTCAAGTTATTTCTGTGACCATTGAGGGTTTTTCTTATTGACCAAAGAGTACCAACAATTTTGTCCACATATATATTGAAATAAAATGTATTATTATTATTATTATTATTATATGCGTGTTCCTTCACATGACGCTACAACAGATCCAGACTGAGCTGCTCCACCCAACAATGACACATCTACACCAGATATAACATGATGTGGAAAATCCCCAGAAATGGGCCCTTTACACTTGAACCAAAATCAAATTCAAGCCATTTCAAGGTAAATTTTTAAGCACAAGCAAAAATCCAACTCACATCTCCAGCAAACGTGATGAAGTACGGTCTGTAAAGATTTGAGGAAAAGTTGTTGTAAAGTTCCTGATCAAACATCTTCCTGCCATCCTGCAGAAAACAGAAAGGCAGTAAATGATTTAGATGCTGAACAAAGATGGATCAATAGCTGGGCTCTCTGCCCCTGAAAACCCAACAAGAGAAGCTCCATGTTTAATGGTCTCATTGCTTGGTCACCGTCTTTAACGATGAATCCTCATCTGTCCACCTACCTTGATGTCAAACACTCTGATGAAGTAGGACCTCTGCGGGTTGTCTTTGACCAGGCACGCCGCCCCGCAGCATTTCTTGTTCCAGCTGCCGTTTCTTTCTGCTGTGAACACCTGGACCACTCCTGAAGACAACGACTGGAGGACAGAAGAGGAGATATGGTGAGTGTTTATTTTTCCTCAACCATAAACTCAATTCTAAGTAAACACAGTTGCTCTACCATTTGCAGAATTATTAAGATTCTGCATTAATCACGACGTCAAACTAAAGAATGATTCAGATTTATTAGGAAATCATTAACGAATCAAGTTGTAAATGTCTATGAAATCCGTGGCAGTCTAAAAGCCACTCTCATCGCAGTTTTGAAGAAGTTTCATGTTTGCTTTGACAGAATCAACAGAAAATTCATCTTTTATGGTTGCAGCCAAGTTCTACATAGATCCAGCTGCACAATAAAAAAGATAAAAATGAGACTTTTAATCATCGCCAATCAATGCCACAGTGACGCCATTTGCTCTTCTTCAGAGGTTTGAGAGGAAACCAAAACAAAATGAGGTCAATTAATCCTACATTTGTGTTGCACTTAAAAAGCCTAATAGAAGTAAAAACAAATGTCAGAACCACAATGGTCCAGTCATTCATTTATTTCACTGATCTGAATTTCAAAAGACAGTTTGTGGAAAAACTTCAAAATCACATTTGTCAACAGACAACTTAAACTGAGCTGGCCTGAGTTTTAATATAAGGCCCAATTGAACAAAGAGGATCAACCTTAATAATCTACAAGAATACAAATAATCCATCTGGAATATAGAAAACACTAATAAATCATAATGCAGCAAGATATTTAGAAAACACTAATAAATCATAATGCAGCAAGATATTTAGACTAAATTTATTAAAATAAAAAATTAAATAAATAAAGAGTACATGACACCATTAGAGCTGAAACAACTAATCGATTTAATCGATTATGATCGATTATTAAAATAGTTAACTTTTTGAGTCATCGATTAGTTGTTTAATAATCATATTTTACTGCATAAAGTCTATTTTTACCACAATCTGACATCGGTTACAATGTTAAATTTGCCACCAGTGTGTGGCAGTAATGAGCCACTGATCTACCAGTGGAGCCGTAGAAGAAGAAACGAGCCAATAAGTGCCCTCGGTTTTAATGACGTATCACATTACTGACGCTCATCTTGCTGTGAGAGATGGCGGAACAAGAAGAAATACGGAAGAAAAATAGAAGCGACAAAACAAGAAAAACCCCGGACAAAAACCTCATGATTATGGGAGCACTTCACTCTAGATGCCTTGAAAAGACGGGTGACCTGCAAAATATGCAAAAACCATGGCATGACGGAAGCACGACGTCCCTAAGTGAACAATTGAGATGAAAACATGTGGGGGCTGATGCAGCAGAGGAAAGTCCGGTAAGTAACAGAAAATAAACAAGCTAACGCAGATCAAATTTGGGAGCTGAGTTTGTTATAGTGAATGTTAAACGTGTTTTTTTGCCGCGTCAGTCTACGGTGTTCTACTTCTGATTGACTAGATGCAATCGTGAATCTCCTCCGTGTTGTGAATCATGCGCTTGCCAAATTTAGCACGTCTGTTTATAAGAATGTTCTCGTTAAGAGAAAAACGGCACAAACCCACAACTATGTTCCTCATTCAAAAAAGGACAACTCCGCAGAGAAAAATATACAGACGAGCTGTGTCCAGGTGAATATAACGCGGCATAGTTGTACGCTTCCAATTTTTAAATACAGGAGAAATTCAGAAAGTCATTTTTTTACTATTAAAGGGCTGTTTTACTGTCTAACGCTGTAAAACGCCTCACAACACATTTTTGTCAAAATAAATGATCACTGTATATTGTTAATTACTTCAAATAATGTAATATTGATTTAGTGTTGTAGTGTGTGTGCTGCTTTATTTTATATGTGTACTTATTTCAGTTTATTTGTGTTTCTTATGCAGAAAAAAACAACCAACGATGGACAACTACATGGGGAACAAGACACTCACCCCCCAGCAATGCATACCACTTACAAACTCTATTCTAGATTCTACATAATTTTTTATGGAATTTACCTCTTATATTTTGATGCCAAAAAATTATTCTGGACTGATATTTTGCACTGGTTAGCTCATTTTACACCGCTGACTGTGTTCATGTGCAATAAAATAGATTGCAGTCAACTGCACAATTCTCTTATGTTTTTCTTTTTCTTAACTGAAATGTATTCATCACTTGTATAGGTTAAATAGCTAAACAATAACAAACCGATTAATCTAAAAAAATAAACAGATTAATCGATTATGAAAATAATCGTTAGTTGCAGCCCTAGACACCATTATTTATCATGCTTTCAATTATGAAAAAGCCTTAAAAAGGTTTAAAACATTTTTTCCTCCACCTGAACCAATCCTCATGTAACCCCTCTTATCTCTATTAAGGTAGCGTGACTCAGGGTTGCGAATGACCACAGTCACCAATTCTTATCATGTGTCTGGCCCATGTATGTCTAATCTCTGAAGTGTGTGTACTGAAACTCTAATTTCTCTCTGGGATTAATAAAGTATCTTTGATTTGATTGATTTGAAATGAAACAATTGAATAAAAAAGTGATTTTTTTTTTCAAATAACACCTTTACAGCACATTTAGAGGTGTACAGAATGAAGGTACAAACTAGATTTGAATTAAAAAATAATCAAATATTTATTTTGATGGGTATGATGCTGGGTTTATGTTTACATCTACCAGCCAGTAGAGGGCACCATTGTGGTTTACCAAACAGTCCGCTCGGCACAGCGAGGCTGGCGCTGTGGAAAATGGCAGACTCAAAAGTTAAGCAGCTGCTTCTGAGCCCAAAAAATGTCATTATCCTTCTCAGAAGAGGAGCGACCATAGAAGATGTAAAACCAGAGTGAGTTTAGGTGAAGCCGACAACAGATGGACCCAAATAAAAATGTCACACCTGAAATGACCCTGGTATCCCGACAGCTGGAAAGCTTGTTCTATTGATGCAACTACAACCTTCACACTAGATGCCGCTTTGGTGTTGCATATTTCATCTTCCCTATATTATCATTTCATTGTGTTTATTTCTTAATTCTAATTTTGCTTACACGCAGCAATTCACTAATGTGGTGATTCTTGCACATATGGCAATAAAACCCTTCTGATTCTGATCAATACTGCAAATACGTTAAAAAATAGTCATACTTAAAGCATCATAAGTCACCAGCATTTAAACCAACTAGGACAAGAGGTACCCCTTCTTCCCTGAATCTAAGCACCACTATGCTTCCTACAATAACATTAATTTTATTTAATTTTTCACTTTACATAAAATTTGTTTAACAGGTTTTGCCATCAGTGCTCTGGGGTCTTTAAACAAAGTATGTGTGTAAGAACGGCGTAGAGGCTTTCCTCCTGGACCTGATGTCTAAAGTCCCAGAGGATTTGAGTAAATGATAAGTCTTCCTCACACATGCACCCAACTCCTCCCATAACTCACTCACTCACTCATCCAACCTGCTACCTAATAAGCTACTAAATAGAACCTGAATGCTACACTGGAGCCACATTTATGTTTTTGTGTTCTTGCTCTAGCTGCAGGAGAAAAGACATAAAACACAGAATACTTGTTGGCTGCACCGTCCTGCAGGCACAATATGGAAACCACACCTGTAGCATGCACTGAGACAAGATCATAGAGCCAGATTAACCTCCCACTGGTTTTACATGTTCCTGCAGGGGTTCAGCCTCACAGGGGGTCCAGTTTCATAGCTGCTAATGACACACATGAAAGCAGGAGCACGGAGACGGGGTGGTGTGTTTGGTCTGATTCAACGAGTTCCAGGAATCGCTGCTTCAACAAATCTTAGAAAAGCCAGCGCCTCATTTAAAACACAACATGAAACAAAAACAAGGATATCAGGTTATTATAATGCATGTTTTCTGTACAAAGCCCTGATAGCATTAGCTAAAGTCACTTTTATAAAACACAATATAGCTGCAATCAGAGATGAAGTTAGAAGGGGAGTCAGGTGAGTAACACGTTGGTGCTACAGAGTACACGTCATAATCAAATAAACAAAACATGCCATATGTGTTGCCGAACGTCTCCATAACCATAAACGATAGTTTGTTACTTTATTCAATATTTCTTTTATTTCTGTGCTTGTAGCACTCCCACCACCAGCTCTCAGCTGACTATAGGTCTTCGACGCATCCACAGAGAAATAAAACATGCCGTTAGTTTAACCACTGCTTGTACATATTGTTATAACTCCGGAATTAATTAATCAATAGCTTAGCAGAAAAACTTATTTTTCTGACCGGAGCAGTCAGGACAGCAGTAACTTAGGAGGTAGAGCAGGTTGTCTAGTCATCAGAAGGTTGCAGGTTCGGTCGGCTCCGACCAGACAAGACACTAAACCTGCCTCACCTACTGGTGGTGGTCAGAGGGACCGGTGGCGCCAGTGTTCAGCAGGCCTCGTCTGTCAGTGAGCCCCAGGGCAGCTGTGGCTCATTGCTCATCCCCGCCAGCGTGTGAATGGGCGAATGACTGATTGATACCCTCGGGCAAGGGTATTACCCACAAGTCATTGCTGCGGGAGAAATGACTCAAGTTCCTTTTCTGAAATATGTATTTTCTAATGAAATTAGTTCATTTTAGGACAATTAGTTGAGGCTCTGAATGTTTTAGACAAAGCAGCAATGAAGTTAAATTTATTTCAAATAATTTCTTTGTTGTTTGTTTGAAAGTTGTTAATAAAGGTTTTTGAAAAAAAGTTTCACAGCGACCAGCATCACGGCATGCGTTGTGATCGATGACGCAATGCTCCCTGTCTCAATTCTGCAATTATTTGCTCACTCTTGTACTACGCACTCGAACCCTACTGCGTACTTTCTCCAAGTGCACTTTGCTGAAGACCGCAGGGCGCAGTGCGAGTATTGAAATTGGGCCATACTCTCACCTTCATGCTCCTTTTTCATTACTGTGATGAGCAGATTCTGTGAAGCAGCACAAGCTCAGAAAAGCAGAATACTTTTACAGTAATTAGCTTCAAATCTGAGGAATTTGTCCTTTTACCTTTAAGCACCACAACCTTGCTCTCTGTAAGCTACAGACTTATTTTTTTTTCTCACAAAGCTAAATGAGCTTCATAATTTGTGGCGAGCAAGGAAATTAGGAAATCCAAATTTATCTCAGCAGATGACCAACAGAGGGTAGAAAAATACCAAGAATTGATCAGATGATCATCTAATCTGAAAGACAAAATTTAAGAGGATTTCTTTGTTTCATGCAGGCATTTTTGCCAAAGAGCAATTTCATAAAATCTAATATTTTCCCAATCTAATCCACAATCTCATCATTGCTAATCCATTCTAACAACAACAACCAGTCCCAAGTGGAAGTTTCTACTCATGATTTTGGAGGTAATCCTAATTTGAAAGAAAATGACCATTTTATCCAAATTGCACAGCTCTGACCTGCTGCTATTTTAGCTAGGTCAGATTATAAAAACTATAATTAAAACTGCATGGGGGACAATAGAGATCAGGAAGGCAGAGTGTATTTCATTAGAGATGAACTGATCCAATCTCAGTGGCTGGGACTAGGGTGAGCGAGTATGCCTCATCTCCTGAGATTATACTCTCACCTAGGCAGGGTTTTCTTAGTGGTTATCAAAGAGCGCCAGCATGACGGTGATCTTAATAGTAAATTAAAGAAAAAAATAAAAAGCGCTAATAACCAAAAGAGGACGATACGGTTGGCCAAATCAGAAACTAAATGTTTGAAGAAACTTTGTAGTGAGAAACTGAAGAAGGAAAACAAAATGTAAAAGCATAAGATGGAGAAAAGAGGAAAAAAGGCCTAAGGAGAGGGAAAAAGAGGAATGCTTTCCTCCTTCTGCAGCAAAAATCACCAGAGGAGGCCAACCACGGGACTTCCTGTAGGACAGAACTGCTGATCAGGCAGTCAGCACGCGCACACACATGCACACACACACCATCTACCTTTTGCCAAGTAAGACTGGAATTCTGATGGTGGAATCAGCACAAGGAATACCAATGAGGAAAACCAATCAGTACGTCTATTGTGTAAGGGTGTCTGGCCTGTCGATGAGAATAAACTTTCATGCAAAACAATACAGAAAGAAATACTTATAACTCCTAATCCACGAATAAAGTCTTCTCAATGCTATCTGATACAAAAGTGCTGCTATGGCGGTTTATTTAACTCCATTTTAAAAAATCCTTAAGGATAGCCAAATAATCCAAAAACGGCAATCCCGGATGACTTCATTAGTGAAGTGATTCACGAGAAACTCAAAGCAAACCAGCATTTGCCAAAATCATTCTCTAGAGGAAGCAGACAAGCTGCTTGTCCATAAACTAGCAGCGACCTGAGATTTTACGGTTACAGGAAACCTGGCATCCAAAGAGCTGCGCACTTGGAAAGAACAACTTACAAATTGAAGATGACTCTGGGATTCTTATATTTTCTGCCCATTAAGGGAGTTACATAAGATGAACTCACCCAGTGAGCCACCACGCCGCTTCCTGACAGGCATTCAAATTAGATTTGTTGGAGGCGCACAATGTCAGTCATTTCCAGACTCCCACCTCTTCATCAGTCAACCTCTCACACAAACACACATTTTGTCTTGTGCTGCACAAGAAGACGCACACACATGCAAAGAAAAACAAAGAGTGGGACTGTGAGGAATGTCACATGCTGCAATCGCACAGCCAGGATGCCAGAGGGACGCCGTCAGAGGATTTTAAAACAGGTTACACAGTTGCTGGACACACCTTAGAAACCTGTGTGCTCACGTAAAGGGAGCTGGGTGGAACATGCCCAACACGTGACCTCATGCAGACATCCTGGAGTGCGTCTTCTAACAGGAAACATGTTCCTGCTTTCAACGCAAACGAGTAGAAGAGCACGTTTGGATCTCTGCAGGTCATGGGAGCAAGAGACAACTGTCTGTTAAACACCTACACAGAGCAGTTATAGGAAACGTAAGCGACGTAAGATCAGGATGTGGTAAAACACACAATGCATTTTTTTCCTCTGTCTCACATTTAAGTTAAAACGCCTCTAAGGCTCATCAACCCTGACCATCAACCTGAAACTGCGCCTTTAAAGCAAACCTTATCTATCAAGGAAGTCGGTAACAAAGGTGAGGTTGTGTCATTCTTTTCCACTGATATCAGAAGGATTTTATCAAGACGCAGAAACACCTCAGGAGCCATGATCTTGAGACTAAAACGCTAACCTTGTTATTTTTAAGTCTAAGCTGGGGTTTCAACACACACCTTTTAGGAAAAAAAAGATCCAAGTACGTTACTGACAATAATTTAGAGCATTTATGGGTCACAGCAAACTTTAAGTGGGGCAAAAGGTTCAAAACATTCTGTCAGCTGGTTAAAGATTAAAAACGCTGCAGAGGAAACTGTACTAAAGCACTTTCAAAACACACAAAAACTCAAGCATATTAAACCAAATGTCATATTTAAATTATTACACCGATAACAATGTAAACGACTCAAACATAAACAAAATGTGGCTCAGT